CTTGAGTTCTCAGTAGTCCTCATTGTCTGCTATGTTCAGCGAGTCCGGTTTTATCCCAGGCTTTTTCAGACCCAGGCCAGCTGGCCTTGGTGAGTTCCCGATAGAACATCCCCATTGTCTCAGTGTGTGGGTGTCCCCCTCGCGGTCCTGAGTTCCTTGCCCGTGCTCTCTCTCCTTCTGCTCCTGATTTGGACCTTGAGATCAGTCCGGTGCTCCAATGTGGGTCTCTGTCTCTGTCTCCTTTCATCGCCTGATGAAGGTTAATATTCCGGAGGATGCCTATATGTTTTTCTTTGGGTTCTCCTTATTTAGCTTCTCTAGGATCACTAATTATAGGCTCAATGTCCTTTGTTTATGGCTAGAAACTTTTATTGAGCTCTACATTTTTTTCTTCTCCCCTCTCTGCCTTTCCCTCCTGCTTCAACCCTTCCTCAAGGTCTCCATGCTCCCTATTTACTCAGGAGATCTTTCTTAAGCAGGACAACTTCTAACTGCATTCTAAATCTTACTTTTATTCCCACGGGTCAGTAGTTCTCACTCATCATCAAAGCGGCATTTTTTTGTAGCAGATAAAGAATATTACAGAAATTTGCAAGTAGTTAAAATGAAGAGAAAATCTGACCTTCAAGTGTCTAGTCTCAATAGACAGATCAACAATGCAACTACTGTACCTAATGGCTCGGGAACGCTATGAACAAGAAAATAAAAGGACTGTAAGAGTCAGAAGATCAGAATGTCTGTCGTGAGAATGTGCCTTCTGTATATGAGAGGGTGCTGAGGAATATTACTGGAAGCTGTGTGACTTTTGTTTATGTTGCATTTGTTTAACTCTGTGAAGCTGTGTTACTCTGCCTTTCTAAAACACCTGATGATCTAATAAAGCGCTGAGTGGGCAACAGGGAGGCAGAAATAGGCAGAGAGTGAGTGGCAGGCAGAAAGCATAAATATGAGGAGAAATCTGGGAAGAAGATCTAGAATCAGGGAATGAGAGAGGAAGAAGGAGGACATCAGGGGCCAGCCACCCAGTCACCCAGCTACACCGCCAGATACAGAATAATAAGGGAAAAAATGGTATTCCGGCATAGAGAAAGATTAAAGCCCCAAGGCCAAAGATAGATGGGATAATTTAAGAAAAGCTGACAGGAAACAAGCCAAGCTAAGGATGGGTACTCTTAACTAAGAATCAGTCTTCATGTGTGATTTCTTTGGGGGCTGGGAGGTGGACTTCCCCAAAAGCCTAAAAAGTAAAAACAACCAACTATAAGAGGCAAATTTCACTCATGAAATCTCAAACATATGGAAACCTAAATAAGACATATACAAAAAGAACACCAGTTGTCATGCCAATGTGGATGGGGAAGGCCCTAACTCATAGTTAAAAAGCTACAGGAAAATAGTGGCTAAGAGGAGGATTAGCCTTTTAGAGTGACACCTCCCTAATAGGTAATCCTTTTCAGGTGGCCAGCTCTAAGTCAATACACGTTGGAGCAACTAAGCAGCTCTTTAAGGTTATACAAATATTTGCATCTATATGGGGGTATATATGTAACAATAATTAAAAGAAGCCATGAATTTAAGAGAAGGGCATGGGAGATGTTAAAGGAGAGAATGAATGAATAGAGATGATGCAAATACAGCACTAATATGAAATACTCAAGAGTTTAAATTTGAAAAAAAGATAAATTTAAAAGGCATCTGCTGAAGTTTCTAAAATTTCTCCAGGTCATTTCATGATTGGGCAGGAGTGTCTGTGAGCACTAGGGCCAAGCATTCAAAGATTAAGATTGCGATTAAGGTTAATCTCACAAAGGTATCTGCAGTATCTAGAATTTCTCAACTGGTTTTGTAAAGACAATCCCTCTCTTTGTAGAGCATCTCATGTGCTATTCCAGCAAATGCACTTGAGATCTCTTGACATTCTCTTACGCTGCACTGTGAATTTGGATTAATTCCAGCAATGATTCAAGATCAGTCCTATAAAGAGAGAGTTAGACACGTTCTGACGCTGACATGCATGCAGCATTTTAAACTGTCCCTCTAACACTCGACTACTGTTAAAACACTGAGATGCATCAATTTGATGGGATTGTAAAGAAATAACTTTGGAAACACTGTTTGTTTTTCATGTCCTGACCTCGAGTGTATGCCATAAATTTCTCTAAAGTTCATCTTCTACCTGATCTGTTTCTACTATGTCATGGAAAGGATTGGGCCAAAAGTAATAAAATCTGATCTGAGAAAATAGGGAGAGTGATTAAGGCTTCCTGTGCTGTTCTATTATTACAAAGAGTGTTAATTCTTGGAGACAGGGAGCTGTTAGGGACAACACTAACTGGACTCTCTAAAAATAACATCAAAATATACAGGAGCGCAGTAGTAGGAGAGATGACTATCTTCAGATGATGGCCGTCGTATGCCACAAAGCTACGCAGTCCATTACACCAGGAAGAGAAAGAAAACACTGAATATCTGCCAACACATACCTAGTTTTCAGAAGCATGAGGCCCAGTGGAACTCTCATATTGGTGGGAACATTGAAACACATTCTCTGTGAAAAGGATTCTTCTCACATCTTAATACTGAAGCAAGTTTACTACACTTTATTAAAATACAAGTTGAATATTTTTTCAATTACTTCTACAAGTTTATTTTTTGTGAAATTGTATTTCATGATATTAGTATTTAATCTGTAGACAATTTCCAAGAAAATAAAATTAATGTTACGACCCAAGTTTTTAGATTAAAATTAGAATCATTTTATTCATGTGGACATAATTAAAATTGCTGCACATAAAATCATCTTTGGCCTGTAGCTATCCTGTCAGTTTTTCCTATGCTGTTCTTAGCTAATTCTTTTATTTTGATTTTTTGAACTTGAGATTTATCTTTGTGACCAACTATGTCTAGGTGTATGCGACAGCTCACATGGCACCTCAGTGTCCGCCTCTCAGCAGAACATCTCTCCTCTCGATGGATTAAGCCAAAATCTTCAGTTGTTTCCTTTCGCTGTTTCCTCCAGTCTTGGCAGCTCCATGACTGCTATGGACCCAGACACAGCTTTCTAACTTCACTCTACAGCATCCTCCTGAGAGAACGTCACCCAGGAGTCCCGGGGACTCCTCTTTGCTCCCCAAATTCAGCTCTAGTTTATTCACAGAAAAAAACAAGACTGATAGTTTTAACACTGAGTTAGACTGTGTGACCTTTGTTTCTAAATTTCCACTCTTTTCTGGTTCCATTAGTTAGGGTAAGGGTAGTGGTTAAGAAAAGAAGTCCAGGACAGTTACACTTTACACATTACAAATTACTCATCACACATCATACATATAGGTTCTAGTATCAGCAGCTAGAAAACTACTTTAAAAAGAATCTTTAATGTAAGAAGCTTTTTTAAGTGTGTATGCCATTGTAATTCACCTAGTGCACCTATGACAACACTCTACAAAATGGTGTTCTATATTTTTTATGATTCCTATGACTAACATGAATTCTCGTATTACTGGAAATATACTTTAAGATAACAATATCAGAAGAGATCTCTAGTCTAATCCTTAGAAGCTCGTTCTAAAGACTAAAGAAGATGGTGTCGAGGGGGCAACAGGGCCTCACCCTGCATGTCCATTTTTCCTCATTTGAAGAGGCAGAACCTGAAGATGTGGTGGCACCAAGAGAAAACAAATGTTTCTATTTTGGAATCCACCCTTGTATCCTGTTATTAACCACAGTAGCAAGTGCTTAGACCCTAAGCTGCTTCTCCAGAGTACAGATCACTCTCTGTGCAGTGGAGGATGAAGCCTGTAGTCAGGATGATGCAAGGACTAGGCCAAGGCTCACCTCATTCGTTGATCTAATTACCTCAGGTTCATTCTCCCCTCTTTTCTCACTGCCCATGGGGAGTGTCCATGGGTCTAGTCCCTAGAGACTTATTACCTGTACTCCCCTCTCAGCTGCCTTTTGACTCTGCCCAAAATAAATTGCAAGAAAATTCAAGTATATTTTTCTTTCCTTTTTCTACCTTGAATATTGTTTCTGGCACAATTGGGTCTGTTCAGGGATCATATGTCATAAGCTAACATTAAGTGAGTTTTTATTCTTGACACCTAAAGGGACCCCCTTGAGTTTAACTGGTGAAGTATCAGCCTGAATGTGGATGATGCTGTCTCAGGATCTGGGGTTCTGAACGAATTCAAAAGGGAGAGCCTAAACCATAATACTTCCTTCCTAAATTGCTTTTCTCACAAGAAAAGGAATGTCAGGTTCCACACAATATTCCTTCCAGTACACCATGATAACCATATCTGATGACATTTATTTTGACAAATTCCATACTTTTCAGGAAAGATCTATACTTTCCCCGCCAATGCAGGCAAGGAAGTGCCCTCCAGGCCTCCAAAAGAGTACAGGGTGTTTAGCTCAGTATGCCAGCTCCAGGTGAGGTCTCCTGACAACCCCTGAGAGTTTTCTTAGGAAGTCCCTTTAAAGACAAGAAGGCTAGAGAAATTGTCAATAGGTAAGTTTCCACTAAGGAGATTATGCAATAAACCTAGTGGCTCTGGACTGGTTTGCAAAACATTCAGAAGTTCACATGACAGAGTCAAAACACGGAGGCAGAAATACACAGGTTCTCCAGTTTAGGGGCATCACCTGACTGTCAGACTCCCTGTCTCTTCAAAGACAGGAGTCAGAGAAGAAGCAACAAATTCAAAGACGTGCTGTTTAGGAAAAAAAATATTTTGTTCCTGTAATCTGACTTTTGGACTCCACTCTGTAAGAGTGCCCTTTCCGCTGTGTGTATAAACCTGGTTTATCTGCTTTCCCTTTCATTTCCCAGATACAACTGGATGAGCTTTATTTATTTGTTTTTCTTTTTTGTTGTTGACAGGTTACTTACATGCTATAGGCAAACTGCACTGTATGCTTGTTTTTCTGGGTTTTCCTTCTCTCAGGACATTCTGTTTCCTGTGAGTCAGCCAGTGAACTCTGAACTTACTCTTGTCGCATTCAGTGTTTGCATATAAACTGCTGTTGGCCGACCTCCCTGTGGAGCTCCGTGCCTTGCTTTGCTCTGACAAGGCTCGCTCTGTGCTGCCCAGCTCCTATTCTTTGTTCAGTCTTGAGTTTCTACCACAAATATCTCCAGCTAGCAATCAAACGGACAGAAATGAAGAGCCCAGGAGACCAAGACAATGTTTCAGTTTCCCAGGGTTTTCGAGTGATGTTTTACATGATGAAACCCAGTGAAACCACCTTCCAAACTGTCGAAGAGGTGCCTGATTACGTTAAAAAGGTGAGGTTGTCTTGAAAGAGCTTCTCTTGCTCTTTTTTTTTTTTCCTTTGTAACATAAACTCAACAGATCCTGGAGATTCATTCAATTTCCTACTTGAAATTATTACAGTACCATAAAATTTCATTTTCGTATAGTCATGAAACAAAAGTTCAATTTTCTAGAGAATTCAATTTGTCTACAATCTCTACATCTTTGTCTGTAAATCCCCTGTGCATCACTATAGAATATGAGAAAACATTCAAAGTTTTCCTGGGCATGGAAACTATTGGAAAGAAGTATTAAATAGTTATACTACGTCAGTAAGCATTGTAACAATTTTGTTTTAAAATGTTTAACTTATCCACTACCTCCAGCAAGGTATTTCCTCTTTAAATGGTGGAGTACTTCTGCAGAAGGAAGGATGCACAGCCTGGCTCAGTATAATTCTAACTTCCTAAGTTTGAACTTGAAGCATTTTTTTTAAACATTTCAAGCCTTTGTGGCATTTTTCACTCCTGTTGCTTGGCTATGATTGGAAGTGGAACTATTCAGAATTAGAGTCTGAGCATTGATGTTCCCAACCCTGTGAAAGTTGTTTCTACAACAAGGCCTAGTGCAGAATCAGGGAAAACATGACATCACAGAGCATGCTCCTGGGAGTTCAAACTTCAGACTCATTATCTGTTTCCAAATGACTGAAGTCCATATTGCTTTTGAGATTTGATATCGTCATGTTTATCCAGTGAAGAAAAATGTGCCACTCCTGTCTTCAGCAATTATTGCTGTGCAAATTATATGTAGTCCAATATACGTTGATCAGTAGTTGAATACTCATTATTACAAAGCCCTGAATCAAAGCTGAATGACTAAAACTTTCTTTTATTGATTTTACTGAGGTATACATTTTCTTCTGCTCCCTTCCCATCCTCTCTCTCCCTTTCTACCATCTCCCATGGTCCTTATGCTCCAAATTTACTCAGGAGATCTTGTCTTTTTCTACTTCCCATGTAGATTAGATTCATGTATGTCTCTTTTAGGATACTGATTATTGTCTAGGTTTTCTGGGATTGTGAATTGTAGGCTGGTTTTGAATGGCTGAAATTTTGATGGTGATGCAATCACAGGAGATTAGCTTGTTTGCTAAGAGTCTTGGTTCTTCTTCCTGCTACTTTCTTGTTACCTTCAAAAGTAGCTTAAGAAAGTCGAATTTTTAAAATCTCTAATTGAGGGTATTTTTAAGGAGTTTTCTTAGAGTGTATCTGGCTTGTTCATGGGCAGAAAATAGACTCTTACAGGTTTATCTAATTTTAAATATAATTCCTTTAACTCGGAGCGTTCCTTTCCTGATTTTAATTATCCTCCTGGCAGGATAGTGATAGTTACATTTATGTTTTTATTTCATTTTCAAATTGCATGGCATGTTTTTAACATATCTTTAGTGTATATCTAAAATAAGTAAATTTCCCTGCTCATTGGTTTGGAAATAACCTGTAGTATAAATTTAGATCATCTCCTGATGTTGTACCCCTTCCTTACAAAATATCAGAGGACTGATCAGAAAATGTGGAGACTTTCAAAGAAAACAGAATGGCATCTCTTCCCTTGAATCTCCATTCTAGGCAACTCCATTTTTCATCTCCTTGATTCTGCTTGAACTAATCCTCAGCTGGCTTCTCAAGGGGAAGCCACCAGGTCGCCTGGATGATTTTCTGACATCCATGTCAGCTGGTGTTGTCTCTCGACTTCCAAGGTGAGTCACTGTTTAGAACAATGAAAGACAATCCACCATTCTGCAAGTGTAAAGCAGAGGGGACATCATGTGGACACTGCACATTTCTCTATAAATACTTAAAGAATTCAGGATCTGTCATTCTTGGAAATTTTCTATTTTTTTTGCAGCAATGACATTTCTCGTTTAATTTTAATAGAGAATGATAAACATTGCTAGTCCTAATTACTCAGTTTCCTTGATACCTTCTTATAGTTTGTACCCAAAGTGACTCCTTCACCTGCCTTACTATAGACCTTGCTCCAGGTCACTGCTAGAATTATTTTTTGTCCCAGCCACATTTTCCACAGATCTCTCCCTATTCTGTCCTGTCATAAGCCACATTTTGAGGTGACTAATGTTGCTGTCCACCTATGATAGGTTTGTACTTTCCAGGGTAAGAGCGTGAGGATTAGAAATGTCAGGTAGTAGGAACACAGACATGAAAGAAACATGGATACAGGACAGTACAAGGTGGGAAAGTCAGTGGATGCTGAATACTGAATTTGCCCACATTAATTTCTTATATGCTTTTATACCCCAATGCAAAGAGAGGGGGAAGAAGGTAAAAAATGTTTTAACATGACACAAAGGACAAGGAGAACAGTTACTTGCCTCAATACCTGAGACACCAAGCCATTATTTTCTGAGTAAGGCATTTTGATGTTTTGGTCAGGGTATGCAGCTAATATACCAAGTATCCTAGACAGTCACTCCCTATTCATGTCAAACCTCCTGTTTTCAAATGAAGGAGCAGGAATAGGCTTGAATTATCTGACCTTTGGTCAGGGTACAGTGGTCCACCTCTGTGGACCATCTTAATGTCCAAAACACCAAGTAACCACACCCTAGGTCAGGGTGTGTAACTACACCTGTTGTCAACAACTTTGAAAGAGTAAAAATAAACTCAAATTCTCTGCCAGGGTAACAGGCTCACATCTATGTGCTCCCATACTAGGCCTCAGATGTTTCTCAATAAAGATCATGTGATTATGTGAACAAGTACAAATCTCTTTCAGTTTTGTCTCAAGTCTGTCCCAATGGTAGCCAAATGCTTGACTCATAGAGACCAGGGGGAAGCCCTTTCCCGTTTCCATATTTCCCTTGACATGAAGTCAAGTTTTATTCCTGAAACTCACAAGGTTTAGTTTCTCAGTCTTTTTTTTTTTTTTTTTTTTTTTTTTTTTGGTCTCTCTGTCTTCCTTGTCATTTTTTTTTTTTTATGACATTTTTCTGACTATGTGTTGCAGGACTGGATTAATGAATATGTGGCTGCCTTCAGTTTCTTTCCTAGGTCTAAACATGGATGGAACTTCAATAAATCTAATTTGTTTCTCAACCCTGATTTGGGCACCTCTGCTCCATGCGTTGACTCTTGCAGTCACTCCAGACACAGTAATCCCAGGGTTGGAGGATCTCCTCATGTTTGTACCCCTTAATCTTTATGCACTTTGAAATCAAGCTTTTATGTCATATCAGAGTTTTAGTTCATACTCGTGGAATGATGTCTGGCACATATCAAGTACTCTAAAATAATATTTTTTAGTGTCATGCTAATGATAAAACTGGACAAATAATACGTCAAACAATCAATAAATTACCTACATTATATAGTGAATTATGAGGTATAGGAGGAAAACCCAGCAGATGGACAAAGGTACCTCCTGTGTATGAGGACTAAAGAAAGTACTGAAGAAGCGGGGACCATGAAAAAAGTTCCCTAGGAAGATTAGCTTAGAACTGGGGAAGAGTGGGTTTAGTACAGTCTCCCACCCCTGCTTCGACTAATGTTTGTGGAGCTTCCCTGCTGATCAGAGCTCATCGCTTTGGAATGTTTCTTGGAACCACACAGTGGGAAATCAAGGTGGATTTTAAAAAATGGCATTAAAACTGAGATACGTCTGAGAAAAGGTGCAATAACTTGATATAATTTCATAATAGGTTTAGGTAAAAGGTAAACATTAAAAATACACATCAATGTGTTTACTCTGAGTGAACTGGGTCTTAGGTTTACAATCATAAAGTAATGAGTTGAGTAACTGCAGATGTGGTAACACACTGATGTCAGACATAATAGAAGATTATTCATCTGAGGAAGCCTCAGATTGCCTAAATACCAATTCAAATTATTGATGAATTTCTTTATTGTATTTCTTTTGTTGCAGAAATGAGCACGAGTCCCTTCCATATGTATACTCTCATGTACATAGATTTATATATAGATTTCTTTATTGAAGATAATTCAGTTGGTTTCCATAGCTCATTCTAAGCATATACTGCACTAAGAGTTCTTGGAAATCAGTTGATCTTTCGACTGTGAAAATCATCTAATAACTGAGAAGTACAGCCCATGGAGGTGCAAATCCAGGTCGCGTATTGTGCTGCCTGAGAAAGAGCACTTCTGTACTTATTGTTTTGTCTTGTTATTCAAGAATTTCGAGGGACATCGAATTGAATTAATCCTTTGGCTTTTTTTGTTTTACTTTTTTAAGTTTGATTTTGGTTTCACATAAAGAAACACTGTCCCCTTCTAACACTGAGCACCCGGAAACACACACTTTATTCTCAGGGCAGTATTTCTTCTAGCAATATGACTCATGATGCTACCAAGTTAGAACAACAAACCAAGATTCCCAGTATTACCTTTTATAAAATCATGTCTCAAAAAGCAGAGACTCACGTGCACATGTACATACATACACACACACACACACACACACAACTGATTGGAAATGGAATGGAAATGGAGGTGAGTGGTGAAAAGAGTTACTATAAGGGAAGAGGAGAGAGAGAGACAGAGAGAGAGACAGAGAGACAGAGACAAAGAAGAGGAGAGAGAAGAGGGAAGAGACTTAGCTTGAAGCAGATAGTCAAAGTTCTTCAGGATGCAAAGTGAAGCTCTGTTTCCTCACCCATTATTTTTAAGACACCTTAAGCTAAAAAAAAGTCTTCCAAAACCTTTAATTCTGGTTCTCTTTGACAAATGGTACAACATTACTAACTTGGACTTTGACAGCATTCTTCTGCTGCTATATTTTAAATTAAAGTTTAATTTAAATATAATAATTCTATTTGTAATTATAATAAAATTTGCTGGTCTTTGTTTCTTTGCTTCTTACGGGTTTAAAAAAATTCTAAATTAAGCCAGGCGATGGTGGCGCACGCCTTTAATCCCAGCACTCGGGAGGCAGAGGCAGGCGGATCTCTGTGAGTTCGAGACCAGCCTGGTCTACAGAGCTAGTTCCAGGACAGGCTCCAAAGCTACAGAGAAACCCTGTCTCGAAAAACCAAAAAAAAAAAAAAAAAAAAAAAAAAATTCTAAATTATAAAATAATGCAAGATTTCCAGGAACATTTTTGAAATGTTTCTCAGTTTTCAATGAGGATAATGTGGAATATCCCATCAAAGAAAACAACCTGAAAGTTACACTTAAATGTACTTTCTTTTATTTCACTACTATTTTAAAATGAAAGTATAAACAAAAAGAAAACTGTTTCTCTACATTCGCTCAACTCTGTGTCCTCAGAGAAAAGAAGAAAAAAAAGAAGAGAGACAGAAAGAAAGAAAGACAGATAGAAAGAAAGAAAGAAAGAAAGAAAGAAAGAAAGAAAGAAAGAGGAATGGAGGGAAAAAGGAAGGGAGAAAGAAAATTTTTGAAAAGCAACTCGACATCAAGCTCAACCAGTATCTCACTTGAAGCGATAGCATTCAAATGACTCCCGTGCAGATAATTAGCAGCTGAGGGTTAGACTTAACCCAGTGGGTCCTTGGCTCTCCAAGGAATCCAGTTCATTCTCAGTACTAGCAACAGGGATTTGCCCCATCCTTAAAGGATGTAACTGCAAGGAAGAGAATGCTATTCCATTAGTTACTCTGCCAGCAGAGAACTGCGCTTCAGATACTCCTTCTAGATGGCGCCTAACAAAACAGAGAAAGTAATGAGCCCCCATTCCAGTTCTGCATTCTTGCAATAGAAACGGTGTCTGGAGACTTGGAGGAAAAACGATTTTATTTGACGATACTGGTAATATAATTACATACAATTTTAAATCTCTTTAAAAGTAATACATTGCTGAATGTATCCACAGTCACTAACAAGAAGCAGGTTAGAAATAAGTTATTTTTCTGTCAATTATTTGAGTATGTAACTATAAAATTAAGCTTGACTGAATGAAATGTGTGCCATGTCTATTTTTCAAAGCATAATTTTCAAAACACTGTACTACTGACTTATATACATTAATGAGTGAAAAATAATCACATCTCCCCTGCTCGCTTAAGCAGAACTCGAATTCCACTCCTTCAGTAGAAGTCCAGGACCTCGATTTTTTCCGTCCTACCCAAATTACTGTTTCCATAAACTGCACCTTCCCGAGAGAGGCTTCACTGCTGATAGAAATATCCATAGTATATTCGTTCTGAAGAGGTTCATTTATTCTGTTGAAACGGCAGATGATAAATCAAATTGCAGTGGGCTCAAGAGATAATTTAAAAAAGTACATTTTCAAATAAGTTCAGAACACTCCACTATTATTATTTAGGGGGCATGGCCAGCTTTGACTATGGTGCTAGTTCTGTAATATTCAGCCACAGGTACATGGAAGCTATGCCTGCAACGGAATTTTCCATTTCTGATGGAAATAAAAAAGTAGCTCAGTTCATAAAAAAATTAAAAGGAGGAAATTAAATTTTTTTGAAATATTTTCAAGTCCTTAGGGTGGGGTTAGGAAATAAAGAAAAATCTGTGACTTCAATGGCATTACCTTCTTCAGTGAATATATTTCCATGGATTCCCAGGCAGAACTCACACACTCCTTAATACTGCGGCATTCCTAACGAATGTAGCAAATACGTTTCTGGTTTAAAGGGTGCTTTAGAGAAGTGAGGTGATGGTTTTATAAATGTCGTGCACTTTTGCCGTGAGAAGTGGCAGGAAACGCTATGACCGTTTATAGAAAGCAGAAGTTCTTTCCTTTATCTTGTTACTGAGATACTGAAAAGTCAGTGTTCCACTAGATGGAGCAAAAGTGGCAGGAGCTCTCAGACAGACAGTCGAGTTCTGAGGTCAGTTATGAGAGGTTTGGAGATAAATATAGAGTCAAATTCTCTGAAAAAAAATAAATTTCTCAGAAAAAAATTAAGCCTCACACTCAGATATATGTTAAGTACAAGCGTGTGTGCATGCGTGTGTGTGCGTGTGTATATGTGTGGGTGCATGCAAGTATGTGCGTGTGTGTGCGTGTGCATGTGTGTGTGCACACGTGTGTGCATGTGTTATGCTGCACTGTACTTTAGAAGTTGAGGACAAGCTGTGTAAATTACTTCACTCTTTACACACTGACCCAAATTTTGTCATGTGCTCCTAACCTTAAAATGTCACCGTTTGAAGAGAGTGCACAAAAAAGTCTTGAGCAGTAAATGAAAGCCATCGTGCAGACCTCTGCACAGCAGGTACTCTTGTCTCTTGATACTTAGGTCATTTCCTTGATCTCACATCCGCATTCCATGTAAGACCCCGTGTTTCTTACCACCCCATCTCCACCTGATCAAGGGAGGCCCCTACATCTATGCCTCTAAGTTATGTATGCCTCTTCCCACTGAAAGGGATTTATAGAGTTCATGTTAAAATTCCAGAATGCAGAGTCATACTCCAGGGCTTTGGGGATGCGGGTGGAGGAACTGGGAACAAAAAAAAGGAAGGAGCTCTGGTTTATGATTCCGGATCTGGTGGGAACAGTTTTGCAAACGTAGGTGCTATTTCCTGCCATCAAGGGTTTTCCAGAATTTGATAATCTTTTCCCAGCTGTATCGCCTGAGCAAATCATTTTAGTTGTGGGCACTGAATTCTTTCACATGTATAGTGGAGCAGGGTCATGATCCTCTTGCTGAGAGAAAGCAGGAATACCTCTCCACACCACTCTGTCTGCTTACCTTGAAGAGAGTTTGGCCTCTTGCTAAAGTGAGAAAAGGGGAAAGGTCTAACATAGTATACGAAGCACATTTTATCTCGATTTGTGTCAACCCTAATAATCCACATGGCAGAGGAAGAGATAAATGTCTGTTCAATCCCCAACACCCATGCTGGAAATAAGAAGCACTTGAATTCAGGCAGCCGGCTCTCTCGGTTTAGAAATCAAAGTTTTACAGCACCACATTGCTTGAGATCCAGACAATGTCTTAATCTTGTTTCATTTGCCCATGACAAAGAAGCTAGCATAAATTTTAAGAACATACCGAACTAATGAAACCCTTGTGAGCCAGGTTATAATAGTCCATGCTCAACAATACGCCCTTGGGCCCTGTGCTACACCAGAGACTGAGAGAGCTCCCAGTATGGAGTTAACACATGACTGATAAATATGTAGTTAAATCCAATTTGATACCTTGTAACAAAGCTTGTCTAACAATCATTAGAATATGATAAATGTCTGTTGAAATGTGTTTGCTTTAAGGTTTCTCTCTAGTTGCTTTAAGGCAGTGGTTAGCAGCTTGGGACACAATCATTCGCTCATCAGGAAACGTTTGGCAATGCCTAGACACATATTTGGTTGTTAGAGAAGAGGGAGTGGTGGTCCTGATGAATCTGAAGAGACAGCAGGGTGTTTTCTCCAGTTTAATTGGAACTTGGACATCTTTCCTGACAGAGTCATCTGGCCCAAAGTAGCAGCAGCGTCATGGTTAAAATCTCTCAGTTAGAGAAGTTAATAACTTGGACCATAAAATGTCCTGACTTTGTTCAACACTTTAACCTAAAAGGGAACTTTATACAATTGATACCTTATTATCAGAAATTAGAGACAGATTTTAAAAGTTTTATATCTTGATTTAAGCTTTGTTCTGAATGGCCTCCAATAAAAAGATTACTCCTGCCTACATTTCAAGATTGGCACTATTGGTTGAGCAGTGGTGGCACACACCTTTTAATCATAGTACCCTGGAGGCTGAGGCCAGCCTGGTCTACAGAGTGAGTTCCAGGACAGGCTCCAAAGCTACACAGAGAACCCTGTCTCAAAAAAAAAAAAAAAAAAAAAAAAAAAAAAGTGTCACTATTGAGATGTCCCAGTCTAAACGTGTAAGCTACTGTCCAAGCTGAGCACCTTTAAATTAAAACCTGTCTTAAACCCTCTCTTGGTAAATATGCTTGGTAACATTTAGAAAATAGGTTGTATACTTCCAATTCTTCATGTTTCTGAAGTGCTGTAGGAATCCATGAACCATGGCCCATGGCCTATCTTACCCAATGTGGAGCTGCATATGAATATGTTTAGATATCCCAGACTGACAGAGAACAGTAGGTTTCTACTTGTCTCAAATCAGCCACTCTTGGGCATCTGGGCAGTCCTAGGAGGCTGCTCACCTGCAAAGGCCTGACCTCAGGAGCATTGCCCTAAGAACAGGAAGTACAGAAGGCCTGCCAGGCAGCCAGGCCGGAGGTTCTAAGGAATCTAGAACACCTCAGGTTGGTACTGGTATGAGAATCAAAGCTGTGACTGTGTTAGGATTAAAGTCTCCATCTCAGCAGCAAAGCTTCCAGCCGTGTCATGCCAAATTGGAAACGATTCTTAAGATGTGCTGACTGTTGCCCTTCCCAAAGTGACAAGCAAAGGATTTTATGAGCTGCATATACTAATGCTGCATTGAATTAGCCCAGTATTTATATATATATATATATATATATATATATATGTATGTATATATATATATTAATAATGGTGACATAGTCAAAGAAAATGAGAGAATTTTAATTATGTGATTCATAATTAAATATGTGATTACCCAAAAATAAAATAAAAAATCTTTCATGCTTATTTAAATTTCACCTCACATCACAATATTTAAATATTTCTCATAATTTTGTGAAACAGGCTTGCTGCTTGCTCATAACTACATATTTGGAATGATCAACTCTTTTCATATTTTAATAAAAAATAGAATAAAAAGTAAATATAGTCAAGTTTATAAGAATGTTAAATAATTTTCTTGAATATGATCTTAAGTTTTGTCAGAGATAATTAAAAGTTAAATATATTATATTAAATTAAATAGGGTTTTCAAAGATTTGAAACAAAAATTTACAGAAACTTGATAAAATATGCATAAATACAGATTTTTTTTTCTAGACTTTAAAAAGATTTTATTCCGTTTGCATTTTTATTTACATGTATGTGTGTGTGCTTGCAACCTTATAACATAAATGTGTGCATGGTGCCTCCAGAGGCCAGAAGAGCGTTTCAGGTGCCCTCAAGCTGGAATATTACAGAAGGTTGTACGCCACCTGATGTCAGTGCTATGAACTGAATTTAGGTCCTTTGCAAGAGCAGCAAGTGTTCTCAACCACTTAACCATCTCTCTGGCTGTTTTTACTTATTCAATTTGTTTACTTGAATAGATTAATATGCCTCATTTCTGGTAAGAAACGATTTCCTTATATTCTGAAAGTCCCTCCCCATTTGACTTACCAAAGATGTGTAAAGTGTAAACACCACAGTAACCGTTGGATTTGTGCAGGAGGGATAAGAAAGGAGAAGACAGAAAAGAGTAGGAGTCACTCTAGACTGCTGCAGATTTTACGGATGCTCATATTTAATGACAGCAAGCGGCTTTCCGGCTCCTTAGGAAACATTTCGTGTATAGTTTTCAAATTTTTACTCTCCTATTGTCAGCCATCCTTGCTGTGTTCTTCATTAAATCTTAGCAATGACAATAACAGGAACTAAGGTGCAGTTTAGTAAGATTTATTGTGTATGAAATGTTCCATGAAAAGCATTTTAAGAGACGCAGAAGGACAAGAGTCTCCCAATTTTCATGAAATGCAAGAGTGCAAATAACTGGTGCCCACATCCTAGGAACCCAAAGAAAATATGAAGGGTAGGGAGCCCAGACACAGCAAGAAGAGGCACAGCGGGATGGTGACAGACACCATTTTTTACATATGCATATATTCATACTCAACCTCGTCGTCTAGACCGTATTAGCATGATCACGGATACAGAATATGTTATAGCCATTGCTGTGGATTTTATTTTCCAGTCTGTTCTTCAAAAGCCTTGAAGTGACCAGCTATATTTACATCTGGGAGAACTACAGACTTTTCGATTTGCCTTGGGATTCTCAGTGGACATGGTATTTAACCTTCCTAGGAGTTGATTTTGGCTACTACTGGTTCCACCGCATGGCCCACGGTAAGTTACAAATGATGCATTTTGTCAGTGATGATGAAGCATATTTAGTACGTAAGAGGCATTTGGTAAATATTTGCTTGATGAATAAACAAATCAATAGAACAATATTTCTTGTAACATGTAAAGATTGCTAATGGCTTAAACTTTGAAATTTCAGCATACGCAATCTGAAGCCATTAAAAATAAAATTATTGCAGATACATTTTCCTTATGATTATAATTATAATACCTTTAGAAAATGATAGCTTAAGCATTGCTTTTTAATGGGCTTCCATCCATTGTTAAACTGCAGGCAATTACGCACAGTATCAGACTTCTCATCCCAATCATCACGGGTCATTCTGGAGAGTTCTAAGACAGCTTAAAATTCTAGGGAACATCTGCCATCGGAGCCAGCAGGATTCAATTTCTTGGCAATGCTTCCACATTACAAATGAAAATGCAATCAGCTAAGCACTGACCATACCGCACTTCAACGTTGCCATAGTTTCACAGAATTTCTCATCTCATGCAATGCCTTCTCTCCGCGCTGGTTCACTGAATTTGCATTGGGGCTTTATAACTGCACCTTCCAAAAAAATGTTTTGTTATGGAAAAAAACAAAATGGAAAAAGCGGGAGAAGCTTGGGTCTGTGTTTCTATCGGGATAGGTGACCGTGAAGGATTGCGGAGGAAAGCAGAGCCCGTGGGTTCCGGGGAACGATAAGACATGGCAAAGTTCTGAAGGCGCTAATGTTTTAGAAAAGCAAGTGACGTACACCACTGAAGATTCCAGGGGCTGTTTGGGCTGAGGGGGCAGGAAGGAAGAAAGCAAGGAAAAGGAAGAACCTGGGATAATAATAATACTAAGTAGGTGGGAAATGGAAATAAGAGACTTGCGAGAAGGGTAAATAATTGCGTAATGCGGAGCAATGCAGTAGACCGAACATCCTTCCTCAACCTACATGATGGGAGTAGGAGGAACATGGCTCAGTGCTGTCCCTAAGGTTACTGAGCCGTGTGTGTGTGTGTGTGTGTGTGTGTGTGTGTGTGTGTGTGTGTGTGTGTGTGTGCGCGCGCGCGCACGCGTGTGTGTACTGAGCTATATATATGTCAAGTATGTATATATGTGACGTAAATATTAGCATCCTAAACTCATGTATTAACCAAACTATGAGTATACATTAATTGGAACATTTTAAGAAAGTATGCAAGTTAAAAATATGTATTGTGAGGAATAACCAAGGTCTTTAAAAATATCAGCTCCTGACATACAATTGTGAAAGGATACCCTCAAATCAAACATGGTTAAGAATAAAAATGCAGTAAACTGTTTGTATTTTAATTCAATAGTTATAATTTAATAATAACAATTTAATAGTTTTCCTAATAGAGCAAGCATATTGATAATTTCTCTCCTATTCTGTGTAATAAACACTATTGTAAAAAGACTTGGAGTCATCCATTTTCAGAACCCTTCTGATATCACACTGTTCTATACAGATGTTCTTAATTGAGAAATCTGTGAAATGACTTAACCTTTGAAGCTGAACAAAAGAAGCAAAATATTACCAAATATAAAACATTTTAAATATGTTTATTGTGAATACCTTTAGTTAGGAGTGACAACATTTTTAAAAAGTTATTAAAATGTGGAATCAAGGCACCTTGAAAGTATGCTTCATATTACAAAAACTTTAACTGATTCTACTGGAAGAGGAAGGCATTACAGAAATTGAAAGCCTTCTGGAAAAGCATTCAAAACCCTCAGGCTATGGAACCTAATCACAAGTTCAAAGACTTGTGGTTTATAATGGAAAGCTAGTAGGAAAAAATAAATTATGTAGTTAAATGTGCCAACCATCAATATGATAGCTGATTTTAGAATTTATACACAAATATTAATAAAAATATTTAAATAGCTTTAGAGATCTAGAAATATACATGAATAAGAAAATCTTACAATATAAAAACTGTAATTCCAAACTGAATAGTTAGTTATTCAGACTAATTTAACTGAAAAAATTTCAATAATTTCAAAAATCAAATGCCATTTTAAAATACAGAAAGCAAATGAATAAAAGCTGATTTTTTTCCTGGTTAGTATGTAGTTAGTATTTTTTCAGTATTTTTGATAAAAATATATTTCATGTGTATAATATGCTAAATATGAAGCAACAAAAATTATATAAGTGACATTTTGTTGTCATATCATTTAGATTATTTCTTTACTAAGCCAAATCATTGCTGATGTTCGACTCACTGTGATTGCCATTTTCTTGTCTCATTTGTGTTTAGTGTTTTGTTATTTAGAGGACAGAGCTGTTTTATTCTCAAAGCGTTTACTTTCTTTCTCTGTGTCAGAACTTATTTTGACACTGTACCGGGTTTTACATTTTCTTTCCCTACATAGCAACACCAACAAGAATAATTGTTCACATCTAGTATAAAATGAATGTTGCCAAAGCACCCCCATAGATTTCATTTTGATTTTAGAAAGGAATTCAGAATGTTAAAATTAAATAATTCTTAAATTAAAAATAGTTCTCTGCGTCTCTACTCCGTTAGGTAACGACACCATGTTTGTGCTTTGCGCTCTCTGCACCACACTACTAGTGAAGAAACAAGATTTCTCTGGAGTGCTGGCCAGGGCCCTATGATCTCAGTGATACAGCCTAGGAGTTTTGCTTGTTTTTTGTTGCTTTTTTTTTTCCTGCCAGTTCAAGAACTAAAAGGAAAATTTGCGAGTGTTTTAGGTAGCAGTGGAGAATCCCAAAGAATGCAAACAGACCTTGGCATTCAGCAGTTGGAGAAAGGCAGGCCTGAAGAAGGCACACAGAGAAAAAGACCCAATGCAAAGTTGAGAGGGTACTCAGCAATCCCCAACTCCAGTCTCCTCTGGGTCTGCAGCATTGAAAGTCTCTGTCTGGTGTTGCTTGCCTAAATTAGGGTTGGCCAATTTGGAGAAAGACAGTAAAGTTTATTGACTGCTCCCCACCCCCAACTGTTTTGTAACAGGTCCAAATCAGGTCTTGAACTTGTTCAGTGAGCCCATCACCAGAGGCATGGTGATGGCAGAAAAGGGTCTGTCTACAAGGCCTCCAATTCCCCAGCATCCCAGGAGTCACACTCTCAGAAAGGTTTTGTTACATGAGCAAATGCCACCTTGTAAGAGAAGCCTTCCTGATCACTGTATAAATATTGTCAACACCCACAGTGACATCACTTTCAAGAGATGTGGGACGTTGCAGAGCCGGGCAGGGTACATTATAACAATTGTAGATTTATTTGTAGAGTGAATATAGAAAATATGGTGTGTGGATTAGTGAATTTGAAACTTTTGACATCAATTTGCAGTGAATTTAAAATTTATATTACAAACATGATACACACAATTTCATGAACCTATGCTTCTTGTGCCTACATGATACACTTACATTTCTTTTTTTATTTTAGTAGGTTTTATTTCTCTTTTATATCTATGTCTTAAACTCAATATATCCACATTAAAAAAAAAATGAGTCTTTCTGATCTCACCATAAGCACATGGGCAGCAGAACCTGTGCTCAGAGGGTACCGTAGGTTTGCACTTGTCTGCTATGGAAACGCCGATTGTATTTCAGATGAATCGCTGGGAGCAGGAGTGGATGCAAGTATAATATGATTGCTTTGTGTAGAGAGTCTCAATTCAATTGATATAATTTAAAATTTTCTTTATTTGCTCAAACTCATCCATGCTCTTTTTTCTTAGAATATGTTGTGCTTAGAAATAAGTAATTTAAAAATATTGAAAGATTTTGGGGTTAAGTGTATTGGTACTTGTTTATTTTGACTGCTTTCTGGGTTTCTTCTGCTTCCTTTTCAACTTAATTATTAATTTGTCCAAATGCATTTCTAATTTAGAGATTAGAATTCCTTTCCAGAATCAAGAAAATTACTTGAAAAACGTGTTGAAAAATGAATTTATTCTTCCTTCTCTCATAGTAAAGGGTAATTTGACTCTCTTTTTCATCTCACACATATTAGTATTTCTTCAAAATCTCAGTGTTGTGTGGTAGGTATTTGCAGCATGCATATAGTCTCTTGCTTTCTTTACAGTCTCAGGTATTGATAAGAAAAATTCCAGAAGCTGATTTTAAATGCTAGCTCTGAGCTTTTAGCTGTTTGACGCATCTCAAAAGACACACACTCTGTGATATGCCTTAAGCTACAAGGGAAACACACACACAGAGCAGCCCACAGATGAGCAGCCAGTGTAGAAGTAGAGTTAAAGACACAGGGAATCCCGTTCCAGCAGTACTCCAGTTCACTAGGAGGAAACTTTCGTTTTCCTTAGAGATATAGAGAAATAGTTGGGGAACCAGTCTTAGGCAGACTTTGGTGGTCTCTACCATAGTGATGACGTTGCATAGGAACTGACTCGAAGAATCTCACAGACAGCACACAGCTGAGTGACTAGGAAGGAGACAACAAAGAAGACCACAGAGGTCTGTGAGGTGTTTGTGTGGAGGGAGTGATGACTCAATCATATTGACGGCAAAGATTTCAAACTTAAAAAAAATAAAAATTAAATGGGCTGGCATTTAATTGAACTTAAAACAGAAATGGCTATTTTGGCCAATCAATCACAGTTGGCCCTTTGACTAAAAAAGTGCTGCAAGGAAAACTGAGAAAAGGGATAAATGCAATTTGATGAAGGAAAGAGATGGATGAATATGAAAATGGAGATAAATAAAGGTAAGCTTCATGTAAATACATTCACGTACACAGAAGAATCAGGAGTGCCTTAGGCAGCAGAGCAACTTTGATATTAAACATCTGGCATACTCTAGAGTCTCTGTGGTATTTCAGAGTGTACAGAATCTAGACAGTGTCACCAGAATGAATTTAGAGAAATATGGATGCTAGGCATCCCTATTGATTGTCAGAAAAGGGATAACACTAAAATCAACGTAAGTTGAGAATTTTTTCAATCATATGTCGCATGTCATTTATTTACTTCCAAGTTTTTCATAAGAAAG